TTTCATCAATTCATCTAATATGTTGATGTATTCTTCTAGTGTCTATCAGCATCACAGTAAAATGATAAAAACTACCATTTAAACTGAGCAAAATGAATTCATATTACCTGGTTCGTTTTGGATCAGATGATTAGAACTTGGTATATCAAGTTATCTAATTATAATGTAGATTTTAATCAATTTGTGTGAAGGATAAAATTAGAACTTGCTCTCCAGTTAATCTACCCATCAGTTTATGTATAAAACTTCTCAAGTTACGTGCAAACTAATCAAGAAATTATCGTTCTTAAAGAATGATGGCTGTGATAAACTATTGATGAGTTCATGAGCTTGTTTACTTTAAAATTATGTTGACATTTTAGAATGGCCTTATGTTTGGATACGCTCAAACTGTGCAGTACAAACTCTGCATAAGTTCATGTGAACCTTTAGGTGTCAGAATTTATGGTACTGTTAAGGTTATCCCATTAGACCTTGAATCAAAGTACTAAGCGTCGGTACTTTGTTTTATTAGAACTATTAGGAATATCAGACTAGTAATTCTTGCAAGCCTTATGACCTACATATGGAAAAGGATAAAAAAGATAGTTGCTTCCGATGTAGCAAGACTTCATACTAAAATACCAATCAATATGGCACTGGAGGCAGTCAGAAAAAGACCAAATATTGACTCAGAACTTACAGAACTAAGACATTGGTTGATGAAATCATATTAGGCGTAAAGTTGTCTTGGACCTCCACAGTCTTAAATTTCAGGACAAAATATGTTAAAAAACAGAGGGAGTAGCATTGGGATAGCCAATGTCCCCAATCAAAGCAGGCATATTTATGGACAGTTGAGAAAATATGGTTTTACAAACCTTCGATCCTCCATCTAAGACATGGTGGCGATATATGGATGATGCATTTAATCTGCTGAAATCCGAACATGTCAGCAGTTTCCTCACCCATTCAGTAGTGGACGCAATCCAATTCACCTACAGGCATAAATGAACAAGGAGAATTACCTATATGAGATTAAGAGTAAAATAAAAGACAGACGGTGGTGTGGATACTATTATCAACAGAAAACTAACACATTTCGACAAGTTTCTGGACTTCAGGTCATCTCGTTCAATGTCAGGAAGAGCGGGTTTAGTCAAATGTTGAAATGATAGAGCTAGGAAACTCACCAGTAACTCCCAGAACTTAAAAAAGGAATTGAAACACACCAAAGAAGCGTTAACCAATTAGTAATTATCCTCTAATGTTTATAACGAACTTCGTACAGACACATAAGAGACGAAATAATGACAGTAACACGAGAACGAATAATAACGACAGCACAAGTAGAAAGGAGTCCAATGCCTCCACAGTGTTACCCTATAAGGAAGGAATATCAGGAACTTTCGTAGGATTCTGAACAAGGCTGGAATTAGCGTAGTGTTTAAACCTACAAACTTACTCAGAGATAAGCTTTATCGGCTGGCTTAAAAACCCGATAGAACCAATTCAGCAAAATAATCCAGTCAGTCAATCCCGTGTAATGACTGTGAGGTTAAATAAACAGATCAAACCAGCCGACCGAGGTCATTCAGATTAGCGGAACATACGAATTTAGTTAAATATAGTTAAATATAGAATGACAGACCCAAATAGTATCAGTAATCTAGGAAAACACTCGGCCATTACAACGCATGCACTATTACACAGCCACAAATGAGGGTGGGATAAAAACACTGTACCTAAGTCCAAAATAACTAGGTACAGACAGAGATTGATTAATGAATCTCTGTTCATCGAACCTACACAAAACATATGTAATATGCATGGCGCAACACCTATACCAGAGGTTTGAAAAACTTAACTGCCAATAAAACACATACCATATGGTGACAGGACTATAAAAATCAGATATAAAAAATAGTGTGATTACATTAATATGAATATGAGCAATAATTTAAGCACGAAACGTCATTTAGAAAAGAATGCTATATCAATGTTATTCATCAAATAAGCAAATCTAATATGGAATAACATCCGTCCACTGTGCCCACGTCTTATACATCATAATCTTCAAAAAAGTAACTCTAAGAAATAGTTCGGAAAGTTAAGAGACATTTAAACATCAATGAATTACAAGTCGAGAAGATATTCCGCCAGGTAAATTTTTGATGCAAGTAAAATTTCAACATAACGTTGTAGTACTTAGTGTATTGGATGCAGGAATTGAACATTTACCGTTTACATATGACTGATTCGACGACATTAAAAGAATATCACATACCTCATGGTCGCAGAAGTGCCTTGCTGATTTGTATAAAGAGGTGCGAAAAATAGGTCCACCTCTCTCCTCTCAATGGCTCCCAATGTCCAACACCGAATTATAGTGCATCATAAAGCTACATCACTTAGCAAGTGGCTAGATTGTAAAAATGACCAATGGCTTCAAGCAGAAAAAGAGTGTGTTATATCTGCCAAAAAGTGGAGAACGTGACTCTCACATATGTGTCATCGATTCATTTATTTTATTCATTCCCAAGGTTCTTTCATCACATCTGACTTCATCAACAACACCACTGCATAGTTCGGTTCAACACCTTTCCAATGACCTCTCATCCATTATGTATCACTTACGGCTCGGAAATACTTTCGTGTTCAGTGAAATCCATTATTGTTCAATATCTCAATCTCCCTGCTTCAAATTGGTTGTTTCACCTCCATAAATTGTGCTGTGTTCTCGTCGGGCAATTCACCAGTCACATAAACAGATTGATGAAATCGTCTGAAATATCCTGACAAACAGCAGCAGTACCAGACTTTGTGTTCTGTCGTAGGCGTTTAGGCGGAGAGAATTGCATGTCTCATTTTGTGGGTGAATTCGTTAAACAAGACAGGAGAAGCATATTCGAGGCTAATCACGTGCAGAGTGAGGGGAATCACGTGTGTAAGACAATCACGATCAGATACAGATGTAAGACAAATAAGACTCAGCAAACGACTTAATTACTATGATTATTCGCGTGAATATCTGATTTGTTTCAACAGTATAATTTAGATGAAATTTCACTTCTCTTTTCGTGGGTGAATTCGTTATACGAGACAGGTGAAGCATATTCCAGACGACTCATGTGCAAGGTGATAGTTAAGACGTAATTGGTGGAATCACGTGTGTACGACATTAGCAACCAGACAAAGTTATAGTAGATCTGGCTATATTCAAGAAGGCGTATTTGAATGTCAGTACATAGGCGTTCACAACAATCATATCACAATATCACGTCACATCATGTACTTATTTATTTTGCTATTTTAGCTATTTTACTCATTTTTCTCAATGAATTCAACCTACACGAACGAATATGAAAACTTGATTTGTTTAAAGAATTATTTCACCATTCATGTCGCAGAGCTTATAAGCTTTAGAGAATTGCACTTATGCATAACGTGATCAAAATATAACAGTGGAACATACAGAAAATTATTTATTCTCATTCTAAAGTATGTAACTTTTACCATTGATATCTGATAACTTGTCACAGCTGAGGTTTATGATGATCAATATTGTACACCATGAAAAGTTAAAAATAGTAGATTCGCATTACCTACAAAATTCTGTTGCTGAAAAACATTGTTCAGTCAGTGTCCAATACTCAATTTATTTTGATTTTATCTGCCTGAAAAACTTGAGAATGTCGCCATACAGAATTACTACTCCAAGATTTAATGCACAGAAATCAAAGGAAACGCTTCACTTTCATTGGAAATTACGAATTTGTATTGCGCTGGCTATTCTGCTTCAGTGAACAATACTAATGAATTAGATATCACAGGAGTGTGCTTTTTTCTGTCATCGCTAAGAAACTTTAAGTGGCTCATAGATATAAGGAGAAAGAACCTAATGAAATGAACATACTGTATATTTCTGAGGTGATTCATTAATAATGATTTATAAATATGATAATAAGAAAAAATAAGGATTATTTTAAGTCGTGATATACCTACTTTTTTGTAGCAATCTAAAATGATTCTCTAAATTCCAACAAAACCGTCTTAAAGGAAATTTCTTTCAAAGAGTGATACATCCCTTGTAAATCCAGTAGCATTGATTCAATTGCTTATTACTCTAGCAGGACCTAGTAGTTTTTTTAAATCCTCACTCCTATTGGATTTTCTTAGCATAAATCACCTCAGTTCAAAATGTTTCTTTATTTCCTTATTTATGAACAGAATAAGAAAACCAAAAGTGTCGACCTTCTGTACATGGGTTTAATATCAACAATTCCGTCACTCATAATTTGTCTGGTTTGTTAAGTATTTTACATTCTTGCGCATTCATTAATTGTATCTTTGAACATAGTATGTTAGTAGAGAACAGTAAAAGGTGAACAATAAAACTGGTAAACTTAACGAGGAATCAAAAACTGTATTCACGTGGACGTTTTAATCTCTCTCAGTTAGCAATTTTTTTTACAGTGTGATCTGCTGACCAATTCGAAAGAGGTTTAGAAGTTTTCCAACTCGAAATCGCTCTTAACTTTTGAAATGATTCGCATACACGTAAGTCATCCACATGGTTCATAAAATTCTTTGTCTGGCTTTTCATGAGTCTTGTCAGGACACAAGTAAACAAAATTCCTGACATTATATGCTTACAACAAGGAATACAGAGTTGACTGCTTATTAAAGTTTTAAGTAACAGGTGAGTAGAAGGTTTCGAAACAAAAGGCCTTTTTCAAACTAGTCACTGGTAGTCAAAGTTTTATCGATCTGTGTGGTTGAAAGAAGAACTATCAGACTGTCACCATCAGCACTGAGATTTTATCTGTTTATAAGCTATATAGTACGGTCATTTTTAGTGTTTTCCTAATCCATTTTCATATAATAGTCTTCTGCTTCTTCCAGATTCCATTTTGACTCCTTGTTTTAAAGCAAACCGATTTTGGCTAGTTTGTGTTGTGATTTACCTGTCCCCACTTGTACATAATGTGTTCTATTAACTTTACTAAAACGAGTGCAGCCATGGCAACAAAATGTATCTATATTATTCGATTATCAAATTTTAAGTGAAAGCAAATTTCTAAGTTACAATAGGTATTGATAAAGAAAGCTTTCGAGTATGATAACAACAGCATTGACAATGTGAGTATTTCTGAACGGTTAACAGAAATTGATTGAGTGTAAACAGATGAACAAACTTTCAAGATTAAATAAAAGGGGGAAAACCCTTAACAAATTGTTCAAGAGAAAGCGAAAAACACAAATCTATGCAGATACATATGAATGATTGTAATCGCTTTGCTGTGTAAAATGTCTAATGGATAGAAAATAAGGTGTGATTTGATAGGAATTCTATTGGGAATACTGATGATAGTAACTTGTTTTATTGTTATAAAAGTTGTAAAATAACTGGTAAATATTCTTCAGTATATTTTTATCAATGCATTAACTGCTACTTTTTGGTAGAAGTACTATTCCCGATCATCTGTCGATTGTAATTAAAATTTTGTATACACATGTTATTGTTTGGTATAGTTAAATAATATTTTACTTGGGTTACAACCAATTAACATTAGCTTTTCAGCTCTGCTCACAATAAATGACTTTGATCAGAGTCTTGTTAACAGATTACACTCGAAAGGAACATCTGACAGAACGTGAACCAACCGGACAGATTGGACGGAAGTTATCTGTATTACCACAGGAGACACAATTAGCATGCATCTCTCTTAATGTCTCAAGCTGTTAACAAAAAATAAAATAGTTAAATGCGTATTTAGTTTTCTAATGCAAAATATATATTGAGACAAAGGTCCATGATTTATATTTAGGTAAAAACAAACCCTAAAACGGAAGTTTCATGGAAGACAGAAGGCAGACTTGAACAAAGTGTCAATTTACTGGTTATCTATGTGCATGTTTCGATATTACTGTCGAACGACTATTTGTCAGCTCATAAAAGTTCCTATTCATGTGAACTTGATCATATTTCCGGGTAAATTGACAAGTTCATTTACGGCAGAGTATGTATACAACATTCTAGTAACCTAAAAACTGCATCTACGCTTAATAGTTTGAATAAGTTTAGTAACAGTCATTGTTCGAACTCAGTGAGTCATTAAGTATTACAATCAATAGCAAACGTAGTTTGTCCACTTCAGACTGAGGTTTGTTTAGCTAGGAGAAAACATAAGGGCAAAAAAGAAGCATATTATAGACCACTTGAGGGGGAATCTTGAATAGTCCGCGTAACCAGTTAGTCAACTGTTGAACGCTATAGTTTTACCATTTAATATGCTGGGTCCCGTAACTCTGATAGTAGAGTATCGGGCTTCAACGTGGAGGATACTGGCTCAAACCCAGCAGTAATCTTGTTTTTCACTTCATCATCGTCACCAAGTAATAATAGCACCAGTCTGCTAAACCACAGCTATCTCAGATACTTTTAATGATAATCAATATGAAACTTTCTCGCTCTAATTCAACTTTATTTGGATCGAGATGAAAAGCTTGGCTGGGCAGCCATTGTGACTACAATGAACGAACAGTCATGAATTACCAATCCACATGGCAACCAGGCTAAGCCTTTAGCGACTGAAGTGAAGATCTCGTCAGCAGATACGTCTCGCAGCTCAGATAGTGGTCAATAACCTGCGGTCCCTAATTAGAGTCTCGCGAGAAACTAGGTTTTCAGTCCACCTTCAAAAGTCACCTAGCAGCAGAAACGCCGGTTTGCCGAAGCTAAGATATGTCAGAAAGTCTCAATTATCTGAATATACCTTAAAAAGAAGATTGAATAACAAATACAGAGGCAACCGATACACAACAGAGTTGTATGCATATTCTGCTAGCATGTAAAGTAAAACATTAAATGCTTAATGATCACTAAAATAGACTATGATATCTCAGGTCACTGACTCACAACAAATTTTGAAAAAACCTTAAAAATATTTAAACAATGGTCGCAGAAGTGCCTTGCTGATTTGTATAAAGAGGTGCGAAAATAGGTCCACCTCTCTCCTCTCAATGGCTCCCAATGTCCAACACCGAATTATAGTGCATCATAAAGCTACATCACTTAGCAAGTGGCTAGATTGTAAAAATGACCAATGGCTTCAAGCAGAAAAAGAGTGTGTTATATCTGCCAAAAAGTGGAGAACGTGACTCTCACATATGTGTCATCGATTCATTTATTTTATTCATTCCCAAGGTTCTTTCATCACATCTGACTTCATCAACAACACCACTGCATAGTTCGGTTCAACACCTTTCCAATGACCTCTCATCCATTTATGTATCACTTACGGCTCGGAAATACTTTCGTGTTCAGTGAAATCCATTATTGTTCAATATCTCAATCTCCCTGCTTCAAATTGGTTGTTTCACCTCCATAAATTGTGCTGTGTTCTCGTCGGGCAATTCACCAGTCACATAAACAGATTGATGAAATCGTCTGAAATATCCTGACAAACAGCAGCAGTACCAGACTTTGTGTTCTGTCGTAGGCGTTTAGGCGGAGAGAATTGCATGTCTCATTTTGTGGGTGAATTCGTTAAACAAGACAGGAGAAGCATATTCGAGGCTAATCACGTGCAGAGTGAGGGGAATCACGTGTGTAAGACAATCACGATCAGATACAGATGTAAGACAAATAAGACTCAGCAAACGACTTAATTACTATGATTATTCGCGTGAATATCTGATTTGTTTCAAACAGTATAATTTAGATGAAATCAAATGATTGGAGGAAACAAGTTTATTTTGGGCGATAGCATCCTCTGTAGGCTTACAATAGCCCGTCATTTTAGTATGGATAAAAATGTCAATATTTGTTAGTTGACAATAATTAGTAGTTTGTGACTATGAGAACAGTACTGGAGTGGAAATTACTTAAGAAATAAGAAGGTATTTTACAACTTGAGTAGATGTGTGTTAAGACCATGAAGTAAAGATTTCGTGACAAAATAAGTAGACAATAGTTAGCTAGCAAGGCAACGAGGAACATAATTTAGCTGAGCGAAAATTGTTTAGGTATTAGCAAACCAGAAAGTAAATTAAAGACTAGTTTAGCTTAAGAATTGGAAAGTTTAGGAATTATTCAGGACTCGGAATATTTTAATCAATAGACAGCCGAATGGTACTTACCCATTCAATCACTGAAGGGTAAATAAAACGTTAGTTGGGATAATCATTTGATAGGTTACAAAATGAGAACTACAGTGAAAGTGGTTTGCGCTACGCATACAACTTGTTGATGACTTCTAAAATACATTTTGTCAACTCATTCTATGTAGCATCAAATAAATTGCATTTTGATTGAGAAACTTCAATTTTAGAGGAAGTTGTGTGGTAGTAACACCAGTAATCCAGATCAGCAACCATGTTTAGACTTCTACACTGCCTATATGACACTCTTATTATAAAGAAATGTCTGATATCGTTCAATCAGCCAAGCGTTATTGGTCAGAATAGCAATCAAATTAGCTACCGTTTCAGAAGTGCAGAAACTGTATTTCTTTACTTGGCAGTAAACGAAAAAAATCTATCCGTTAATAATTTTTATCAGTCTGCTAAATATTTTATCGAATGAAATGATGGTACTTGGAGCAAAAACAGTTCTGATATCTTAGAGAATACAACTTGAATAAACGAAACCTAAACTAACCATAAATTTGCATGGTAGTTATCAGTGCTAAGTTCCTCAATCCCATACTAAAGCAGACTATCATAAACCAAAAATATTTACCTTTAAAACTCATTCATGTCTTATTTTCCCGGTACTACAAATAAACGAACAGACTAGTAGGAAGTTATAAATCATTATCAATTTTAAAAAAATGTAGTCAACTGCAGTAAATTCAGTGTTTCGCTATAATTAGTGCATTATTTAGTTGAGTATTTTCTATCCCCAATAATTAATTTTCCTTAAAAAATAAAATCAACATCTAAAATAGAAGTTACAGTTTAACAACCACTTTGTTGCATTGATCTTTCTGTACTAACAAAACTTTTATAGCTTTTAAGCAGCAGAATAACTCAAGAGGACTTATAAGCGTTATAATGCACTTAACTACGTGGATGATTAGCTACAAATCAAGTCTCACTTTACTACATGTTTTAATGCTTTGAGAATAATGGCTATGGATTTCAGTAGCTATGTTTAATAAATGCTTTTTCTTGGTGTAATCAACATCTTCACTGTGAAATAAGCATGTATCAACGAATATTAAAATCTATCCACTTGACTGCATTTGTGTCGAATATTTTTTATATTTTCATATTTTTCATTCTGGAATTACACTATACTGAATTCGAATGCAAGAAAGAACTCAGCTGAGCTGGTTAAGTGATATGAAGGTATTTAGTAAACAGTTTCCCCTATACTTGAAACATTTTCACGCTTTGATTAACAATTAGATTCCGTAGTTCAATCTGTATAGCACACAGCCAATAACCTGTTACTTGTAATCCCGTCACTGTTGAGGACTTATTTCAACTTCAATCATTATTTCCTTAAGTTAAAATAAAGTCATGTCACTAATTACCTGTGTACAGCTCAAATCTCGGTTGTATATCATGTCTATCAGTCTAACTATCAGATATAAACATAGTTTAGTTGACTTGTAGCCCAGCTGGTAGAGCATCAGACCGGAAATCCGGTGGTTGCTGCTTTAAATCCTGCTACCGCCCAGATACTTACTTCACCTTCAGTCACCATCCAGTGTCAGTGTATAATATCGTTCACGTTAGTCTTGTGGCTTTTTAACAAGGTGGCAAAACACTATCTTAAAAATAACCTTATTCTTATCTATGGTATGATAAACAATTGCTTACTAGATATTATACCTGACTAACTAAAGGTACTACAAGCAATTTTACTGCCATTTGATAAGAGTTTGCCCATAATCCACTGGAATCAAACTTCATTGCATTAAATGGGAATGGATGGAAATCATAAGAATTTATCGTGGCTGAATACACTAATGAATAACAATAAAATAAATGCAAGTTCCAACATTCTACCTAATTATCACTGGTCTGCGACCTAGATACATAACTATGTTTGGTTTTAGGATTCATCTGAAAATCCGCTTTCCTTTTTCCACATTAACAAAATAAGAACTGACCAGTAAAATGAAGGAAATATTAAAACTAAGCGTGAACTGCTTAACTGTCAATGTAAACGAAATTCAATCAGTCACACTTTCTAGATATTACTACCATTACCTTCAAAAATAAGCGTGAATTTGATAGTTAAGTAGTGCACATACAGGCGGGAACAATTCCTAACCTACTGCAATAGAGTGAATCATTGGGGAGTATTTTTAAATCGATCTAACATAAAATGCACTCAGTATGTTCCAATGCCTGTGAGACAACAGTCTGATGCTCAGTTGATTTTCAACAAGCATTTATCCAATAAAATAGTCCACATTGTTCTTTATCGGAACAGTGATACTAAAATAGACATGGTGAAAACGATCGCGTACAATGTATGCATAGGGTATAAATATTCAATGTCGGGCAATCACCAACACTAAACAGAAGTTTAACGTGAGTAAACAAAACGGATCACAAATGATGGTTCCACAGTTTTCAGTAGGTGATAGCTTACTACTTTTTATTTCCCTGTCAAAAAAGACGTTAAGTAATTATCAATTAAAAATTATTGAAAACGTTCATTTCACACATATAGTGATGCATAACATCACAGCGAAGGATATTTGCTTAGATTGTTCCATATTATAAAACCTCACAAAAGTAGATTAACTGAAACAAAATGTGTTACAATAGACACAGAGATGAATGTGAGTAAAGAGGTAACATAAAAACAATGTTATAAAATATTCTAAGTCAAAAATATTGAAAATGTACTCGTCTACTTTATTATGACCAGGCTGTACCCCTTTGACTAATCTCATCATAGACATACACTTCCTGACAGTTCAAAGACCACGGTAAGGAAGACTGGAACCTAATTAACTGCCTCAAAGGAATAATCAATGAATTTATGAAATAGTGGCATAACCTTCTTACTTCATCAAATATCGGTAGTCATGATACTTTGTAAAGGTAATGAGTTCATATGGATTGACCGTGTACACGTCGATCATTACAGATTAAGTTCCTCACTGGCTGACAAATTTCTTCTTGTCCTAGAATTTTGGTCTCAATCTCACTTAGTATTGCCTATTCTATGTTTCTAATGAAGACATTACACCAATATTTACATCATGTTCTTTAACTAAGTCTTGACGCATAACAATTGTCCTCCTACGTATTATTAGTCGACATCATCCGGAAACTTTTATTTATCTAGAAAATATTCAAATGATCTTCCGTATTCATACCGCGTTTTTCCTTGTTCATTTTCATCCAAGCAAGTAGGAAAAGATTTTCAGGATGAATTGATTTTCCACATTGATTGTAGTATATGAGTTCAATAAGATCATCTCCAGAAAGCTGATCAGTAAATGTAGAAATCTCATCGATTATATGTAATATGAAGCTGAACAAAACTGGTTTTCATTTTCTCATATGAAAGTTTCTTTGAAAAATGACTCACACCAGCAGCGTCAGTTCGATGATGTAGCCTTTATTAATACATATACACCAGTTTTCTAATAAAAAGATTAGGATAACGTTTTCTGAAAAATGCCTCTGGTAAGTGAAATACTTTTACTAATGAAACCACACCTGTAATTTGCTCATGATAATAATATTCACTGTTTATGCCCGTATATATTATACACTGAAAAGTGAAGGCTTTAAACACTTTTATGTCAATGAATTATCAAATATAACTGGATATTTTAAGGAAATAAAACTTGATCAAACCATCTCATAGCATCCAGATGTAAAACTCACTTGGTCTATACTCATGACTACAGGTTCATCCAGAACTATCCAAGTGACACATTCACTACACGGAGGAGTTGTAAGTGATCCTGAATATGTATAGTATCTGGACAAATCGCCTACACATGGAAAAAGTACAATGGAAATTAAGATAAACAAAAAACTGAACGAAAGGTGAAATCTAAAGCACTAGAGATGTGAAAGTGACTGGAGATGATTAAATACCCTATGTAGTAACTATTTCCCACTATGTAGGCAGATAATGTTACTGAAGTTTGGTGTGCCTGAGCTATGCTATTCGAGTTAAGTTGCAACTTGTGTGTACACGCGTATCTGTATTGTCATTTGGGAGCTAGACAAAGTACCCGTTACTTCTAATACTACTACGTCACCTCAAAAACAGTACAAAGCTATGTTATATTGGTCTTGTTGACTTGCACTAGGACGCGCGTTTCGTCCCATATTGGACTCGTTGGCCGGATGCACCTGCACTTCATTGACTGTTGTTTCCATTGAGTCTGGAGCCCAGTACCCTTCACCTCAAACGCCATAGCGTTATCCACTAGACCACAGGGATATGATAACCACCTCTTGTGCAGCTCCCGTTCTGAATTTCTCTCCTAGTCTTCGAGATCAATATAATACCATAAATATCCGGTATTATCGAGTTAACAACATCGAGCGATTCGGGTCTGTACAGTAACGGGAAATTACAAATATCGTTGGTACACAATTATGGCTAGGAAAATGTGATCCCTTTTTTATTGATTTATTGAATTCACATAAAATGAAAACAAAAGTTATCTACAATCAGTAAAATTAAACCGAGAACTTCTTAAAACATAGATACACACTTTCAGTAACTCATTTGTCAATATTGCATATCTTTTTTTATTGTCTCGTTACTTTTATTTAGATTAAGTAAACGCATGGTCTGTGAAAAATACATCAGCATTATTGTGGATCGGAGTAATAGAAAGTGAATACGGCAAGTGCCAACTAATGTATTGTAAGAACCTAAACAAATCCTCACCTGTCAATTATTCTAGCACTTAAACAAGTGCCGGTCAATTTCACTTCAAAAAGAAGACCAAACAAAACAAGTCACAGCAAATATTTAGAGATATTTTGAGGAAAACAATCAAGAATACAATAACTAAAACTGTTGACTGCTAGTTAGCATAAAAAAAGCCAAAAAAGTGAGTTGATCTGCGAAAACTGTTCGTAACATAATATAAAGCATCAAAACTAATAATTGTGTTGACACTGGGTGGTGTTTGAAGATGGGATGAAGATCTTGGACGTGGTAGGAACCGAACCGGCGACATCCGGTCACCTGCCCAGTTATCTACCAACTGAGGTACGAGACACAGTTTTGCCGAACTGCTATGTCAATTTGTGATCGGTTACTATTGCTTGGTAGTACTCACACTGGTTCCCTAATTGGGACTTCTCATCCCAATCCATATCACTCTGAATCACAAAGGGGGAGCATCATGTTGATCACCGGTTTGAATATCTCGTAGCTCAGCTGGTAAAGTACCCGCCCGGTAACTCGGAGGTCACTGTTTCATATCCTGCTGTGGCCTGCATTTTCATTTCACCTTCAATCCTCATCCAGTGTCAATACAAGTCTGCCAACCACGGCCATCTCAGATAGTCAAACGGATAAACAGTGATTATGTATCACGCAGGCATATAAAGGGATAAAGATTTCTTTTGAGTATGGCCGAAACTTTGGTCAAACACAGAAACAGCTTTAAATAACACATCGCTATCTGAGTAAAATTTAAAAATGATACAGTTGCAAAGTTTGATAATAAGACACTTTATCACTAAATGTCAAACTTAATTTTTTCCAAACCCTTCGCTGCAAATAACGTAATCTCTTGCCTTTATGTATATATATATATATATATATATATATATATATATATATATATATATATATATATATATATATATATATATATATATAGTACTTGTGGCTTACTATTAAGACTAGTTTTTGTGCATTTGTTCGTTAAGTGACTTAATCACTTTTCGAAAACTAAGTTGAGACTCAACTAAGGTAGATAATACTTTAATTTTATTCTACAATCAATGAAATGTTGTTAATGTTTTCTTTCTCTCTTTCACTGGCTCCTAATCCCTCAAATGTACTTGCGAACAACAAAACAATAATAACAGATGAAGCAATTCACTAGCGAACGCACAATTCCCTCAGTTTCATTCTATAGAGACAAATAAATGTACAAACAAATGAAACGGTAGAAAACCAAGTGTAGAGTGTAAATTAGGTAAAGATAAATTCAGGCATAATATATCTGTACATGGAATAATCTAGATATTTCAATACGGAACAGATAAAAATGAACACATACATAATTACAATCATGTCTATTGAAATTTAAATTTTTTTATGAGCAGATTTATGTTTTGTGGAAACAGTGTCAATAAATCAGGAGGTGAGAACAAATGGATTGAAAAACTAGAACGAAGTGAGAAGAGTGAAGAAATGAAATTCACAACGTACAGAAAGTTACACCAACTGGATATAATAGGCAAATAAAAACTTAAAGGAGTTATGTACGTCTTTTATGGTAACTTTGTGGTATTTTTCCTATAAATATTGTCCAAATAGCATAACGCTTACAGATTACAGTATTTATTGACACAGATAAATAAAAGCAAACACGTTTACTGGTTGAGCATCCGCTTGTAGATTTACTTCATGTGACATTTTTGTTTGACTTTTCTAGTAATGCTATGTAAACATGGCACAGGCAGATGATTCTCTATATGTAGTGAATATGAGATATGATTCTCTAGCCGTATAATAGGACAAAATGAACTCCAAAACATTATATTCGTCCGTTAATAGATAGTTTAGTATCTGGCAGGCACCAGAGATATCTTTGGCAAATGGCGAACAACTATTTTGAACAACTACTACCATTAAGCAAACAACCAAACCATTTTAACCGATGTAGCTTCTCAAGTTAGCAAAATGGTCAACATCTATTACCTCACTCCTTATCCTTCAACTGGGAGTCAGTGCCGATGGGGCCTATTACATTCATCATCTTACATTTAACAGGTGCAAAACGCATACCAAACATACTCATGTTTTTATTCAAAACGTTTAGAGACTTTGCACCATATTACCGTTTTCTTAAGACAAGGAAATGTTGTCTGCACACTACAGTTTAACCAGGAGCTCTCCAGAAAGTAAATCAACCTTTTAAAAGCCAGAGGTACTTAGGTTATATCCGTTAGAGCTTTAAAGTCATAGTTAAGTAGGAGTAGTAATACTTTATATCTCTGGTCGGTATCACTAGTTGTCTCCAGTGAAGGCGAAAACTCTCTGTAAAGCCTTGCATAGCTGCATAAGTTTGAGTAGAGAGCTTGGGTTAGCATTGCGCAATTATCCGATACTCCCTGGAAGGTCCGAAAATGAGATAAAAACTATCGGTCAACAGTGTAGATTTTCATCATTGAGTCGAAAAATATATGGCCAGTATCCGGCATCAACAAGTATATCTCTGTTCCAAAATCTATCAGCGGGTGAAAATTTTGATTGATGCATCCTCACTTAGATATAAAACCTGCCTGGTTTGCTTGAGTTTGCCGCTGTTGACCTCTCGTTAGAAGTTATACAAATAGGAAGTTTACGATATTGAACATGATAATGGTCAAACTGATCCCTTTATGGTTTTCATAAGAAAAATTTCTTCCCTTCTAACACACCGGAGCACTTAATGGTTTATACCAGTCTGATACGACTACAATAATTCCCATACACTAGCTAACATTTATTTTAGTCTGCTCAGCAGTTTTCAGCCTTGCTTGTTAGATAATTCTGGTGGTAGACAGTCAGGTCCCACTGCTCTGTCTTGTTTTAGGTTTGAAATAACTGTCTCAATTTTGAGAAGAGCCCTATGACCAACATCCATGCCCCACTAAGTTTTGCACCGGATCCCAGGCGACTTAGATATGGGTGTGGGCATTCGAAGCCCTTCTCCAGACGGTTGAACTCAAATTTCCAGCCACCCTTCCTAACTAGATATCAAGGACCCATTCTTTTCGGCAATGGTCTCAATAACCATCGTCTTATTCTTACTAGAATCTTCAGCAAGCCTAAATAATCGCCAAGTATTATATATTTCGAAGATGCTTTCTCCATCTATTACGCTTTCACCAAGAAACACTGCTCCCAATTATTTTGCATTTGAGATGCTTTCGCTCCCAACTGTGATCATAGCTGACAAGAATCTGTTTTCTCACACCAATCAGCTTTGATCAGGTTGCAGATAATTACTGCCGTCTGCTAACATTTGACTGTCTCACTCTCTGTTTCTACGTAGGACTGAATACATTGCCAGATATTTGGTCAACATAGCACCAGAAATCACTGCGTTGGGGTTCAGTTTATATCAACATATCAGGATACAACATGGCAAGCTGAAAGACTAACAAGCACAGAAGAAAGCAGCTCAAATTAGTCGGTCGTAAAAGGAGAACAAAAAAGGATAAAACAATACTGAAATTGGGCATGACGATTAAGATAAAGATTAGGTGTGAATATATGTGTGCCACTGACATCGACTCTGAGCGAATTCACCTGGTCTCCAGTCACCGATTTCGGTTGTCAAGTAGACCCCGAACGAGACGTTCATACTACACTGCATAGCTCAAAGTAAAGGTCACACGCTTCATGCACAAATGCCATGTTATTCTGACCATGCCTAACCTCCTTCCAAACTAAACTTACTTTAATTGATATCACACCACACCATAACTACGTATTGAAGATGGATAGTGGCTAGCAGTGGAATCTAGGATGCGCATTTCATCCCATTTGGGACTCATCAGCTAAGTGCATCTGCCTCCCGATGAGTGATGTTGTTCCCGCCAGGATTTGGACTAGTGAGCGATCGCTTTGAACGCCAGACCGTTATTCACTACACCACTGAGCCACAACAGTCACTTCTTGTGTGAAGGGTAAAGTTAGTATAATTGCTTGTGTTATACCGTCGTTGACGGGACCCAGTTGATCGATCTCTATTGGCATATGGGCTCTTGTGCGGATGCCTCGATATTACCTATGTTCTAATCA